AAAACAATGGAGGGGCTAACAATGTTCAAGAGGAAGTGTACTCATTACCTCACTCATGTAACTGTAACCCTCTGTATAGTATCTTTACAATAAAAAATTAAAAAAAAAAGTCTCACTCACCATGTACATTGGGGATCCACACAATGTTGCAGCCATCATGTTACTATGTAGGTAACGGGCAAAACCAAAATCCGCTATTTTACAAAATAAAAAGTAGAAAAATAAATTACATCTTTGCTCACACTTTATTTCATATAATTCTTCAAGACACAAAGGAATTGTGAAAAACAGAAAGCTAATTGAATAGGTCTGTCCACCAAAGTGAAAAAAGTATTTCAGTTTCAATTAGCTAATAATCGTAGTAATAATCAACCTTTAAGTCACTTCTAATTTTGTAATTAAGGAACATCAATCTGCAGGTGAAAATGCTTATAATATGCCTCTCCTTAAATATCAATAACATGTAGAATTTAAACTGTCCTGACTAATAAGTTCTAAGTTTATATACAAAAGCACTAAAGATTGCTAAAGACTTCACAAGATGATCTTTTGGATTTCTATGTCAAGAGCTCATGAGCTAAAGAATCAGGATTACTAATTTGCTGCCAGTATCCAAATTTAAATCACATTTCTTTTCTAAAAAGAAAGAATTTGTTACTGAAAGCCATATATATATATATATTTTTTGGTCGGTCGTGGGGCTTGAACTCTGGGCCTGGGCACTGTCCCTCAGCTCTTCAGCTCAAGGCGAGCGCTCTGCCACTTGAGCTACAGCGCCACTTCCGGTTTTCTGGTGGTTTATTGGAGATAGGAGTCTCACGGTCTCTCCTGCCCCGGCTGGCTTTGAACAGCGATCCTCAGATCTCAGCCTCCTGAGTAGCTAGGATTACAGGCGTGAGCCACCAGCACCTGGCTGAAAGCCATATTTTGAGCTTGGCCCTTGTAAGACTCAGCATAAACTATGAATAGGAAAAGGAGTCCCATGTCAAAACAGACCTGAAGTCCATAAAGGTTTTATTACAACAATAAAATTCATAATTCAAACAAAGCTGAACAAACATAATCTGAAAGTACTGAGTCTCAAATCCTCTTCACTATGAAACAAGACATGGCTATTTACCTATTTTGATGCGAATACCACTGACACTTGACTTCCTGCGATTGGCATACGACAACAAAATGTTTTGTGGCTTGAGATCTCTGTGGATTATTCCTTTGCTATGTAGGATTCGCATGGCAGCTGCAATCTGATGAAGAAACACTCTGATAGTATCTTCGCTGAGAGTTCCTTTAGCTGGAAATAGTCACATGAATATTTAAGTACACAACAACAAATACCACCTGCATATTCCATCAAGAGAAGTGAGTTGGGGCTGGGAAGGTGGCTCAGTGGTAGAGCGCTTGCCTTGCATGCCTGAGGCCCTGGGTTCCATTCCTCAGCACCACATAAGCAAAAAGAAAAAAGCTAGAAGTGGTGCTGTGGCTCACGTGGTAGAGTGCTAGCCTTGAGCTGAAGAGCTGAGGGACAGCGCCCAGGCCCAGAGTTCAGGCCCCACGACGGGACCCAAAAAAAAAAAAGAGAAGTGAGTTGTGTGAG